ACAGAGGGTCACTCATGGACACGGGCAGGGCTGGGCGAGGGTCCATCCCACAGCAAACACCCACCTGCTTAGCCAGGCCTGCCTCCGTGTGGGTGCAAAGAGTTGGATGGCAGGAACAGGCAGCCCAGGACAGAGCCCAGGACAGAGCCTGGGGGGTGAACAGCAGCCCAGGACAGCAACAAGCACAAGAGGAGCTGGGGGAGCTGCCTTTTATTTCCAGGCATTCCTGTTTCCATCAGCTGTGTGGTATTACCCAGCCTGCTCCGTTTGCAGTTTTAACAAGGCACAAGTGGTGAAAAACCCTCCCCATGCAGAGCTTTCCTGTCTGGCCATTTCCAAAGGCCCTGGCTGTGATGGCAATAACTGCCTCCACAGGGTGATGTGCCTGGGGCAGAAACACACCGGCGAGGAAGACACATGTCTAAGAAATAAATTATTCCAAATAGGTAGAAATATTTTTCTCCATTTCTTACACCCCAGGAGTGAGGGCACCAGGGTACGGGCACCCCTGAGCCGTGCCCAGTGCTCCTGGGGCAGAGGCCAGTAATGGTCACTGCAATTAGCAGCTCTCCCTGGCTGGGGAGGCACCGGGAGAGCTCTCAAGGGCCGTGAACTGAAGGGCAGTGGGAAAGGTCTGGAACACGAGGGAGCAGCCAGAGCCACATCTCCTGGCCCCGGCAGCACGCCAGCGTTACAAAACACGGACAGCCCGTGTCACATAGCCAGGGTCAGTGTCACCAGCCCCGCGGGCTATGGTTACAAGGGCTGAGCCCAGCAGAGTCATCCTGCCTGCAGCCCTGGGGAGCTCAGCCTGCCTCTGCCCCCGCTGCCCGGGCATTCCCAGCCCTCTCCTCCCATCCCGAGCATCACACGAAATGTCTAAGGGGGAAAAAAAGACTTGCTCAAGACCTGCTGCTTTTTCCACGCTGAAGCAGAAACAGCAATTATCTGGTTCAGTCTGGTGCTGCTGGCCTGGAACATGCCATGACAACGTGTTTCTCGTTTCAAAGCCTCTTTTGTACTAGGACACAGTTCAAGGGATCTTGCAATGCCTGCATTTGTAAACACGCCGCACTTGCAGCTACACGCTCTGCAGATGAAAGCCAAGGCGGAGCACAAGGGCACTTCTCCCTCCGTGTGTCACGGCCGGGGGAGCGGGGCTGGGGCCGGGGCAGCTCCCCCCGGCTCTGCCCGGCTGCTGAAGCAGTGCCCGGGGCTGGGTAACCATGCGTGGTCCTCAAAAGTCACGGCACGTTCAGAAAAACGGAGTCCTGGAAAAGGGGGGGTGGGGGGGTGGGGGGTGAAAATCACAGCAAAAAAAAAAAAAAATGTGCGTCACTGCAGATTATTTTAGGCCCTGGTCCATGCATAATGCAAATAAGCAGCTCCCGGGGTACATGCCTGTAAAAACCATCCAGTCCCACAGCGCCCGGCTACGGGAGCTTTCCAAACAGGTGGTGAAAAGCTAAAATTATGTGTCTGTGTGTCCTCACCGGGGTTAGGAAAGGCCCTGGCTCTCAGGAAGGCTCTCCCTGTGCCTCCACGGGGCTGGTATGAAACAGGACCGAGACATTAAAAAATTCAGGAGCATTTCTTTCCTTTTGAGGCAATCCTGCGCTCCCACTCAGCAAACCTCACTCAGCACCTCCACGGCACCCTTTGATCTGCCTGACCCCGCTGCCCCCTCCCACCCGCTCTTCACGCACACTAACTTCATTTATTTTTAATTTTTTTTGCCCAAAATCATTGTATCCTCCTTGTCTGACTTCAAGGAGTCGCTCGGGAAGCCCTATTTATGGGTTGAAATGCTGCTGAAAGAGTTATTGCTGTGTTATTCAGCTGTTGTGCCAAGCCTGCATGGGGATCGGGTTTCTGCTGAAAGGGTGCCAGGCACGTCTTTTTCCAGGAACCAGCAGCCGTATTTAGCCTCCGGCTGCACATGAAAGACTGCAGTCGGAAACGTGACATTGTGTCAACATTTGAGGCAGGTCAGAGCTGGGTGAGACCATGAAAACAAGCCCGGGAACTCAGCACACCCCGGCGGGGCGGGCGGCACGGGCTGTCCCGGGCTGGCGCCGTGCCGGGGGTCGCCCCTCCATCATCCTCCCTGCCTTCCTTGCTTCCATCCATCCATCCATCCATCTCCTTCCTTCCTTCCATCCATCCCTCCATCTCCCTCCTTCCTTCCTTCCTTCCTTCCTTCCTTCCTTCCTTCCTTCCTTCCTTCCTTCCCTCCATCCCAGGGATGCAGCTCTGCCAGGGCTGGCAGGGGCTGCTGGGGTCCCCACCCGGTGCCACCACGGGTGCAGCCCCTGCCCCACAGAGCTCACCTGTCCTGCTGGCACCAGACCAGGGGGGCAGAGAAAATTCCCAGCCCATGATAATCTTTTGCTTCCTGAGTGAATGTTCCCTCTTCCACTTTTTCTGCAATTTTTTTCCTGCGAGGCTGAGGATCTGGACGTCCTGCAGCTCGTCCCACCACAGGACAAGGGGGGTCAGAATACGAGGACCAAAGAGGAGCCATGGGAAGGAGCCAGAAATCCAGGGGGTCCCGAGGCTGGAGGCACCTCTGCACTGAGCACCAAATGCTGTCCCCAGTGGGGTTGTTACAGTCAGCTTCAGCAAGATCAATATTTAGCCCTAATTAAAGCAAACATAACGTGAACGCTGGGACGTGTGTAGACCCCAAACACATCAAACCAAGCAGCATTTTTTTCTAGCATTACTTAAGCTAAGGTTTCTTTAGTTCTAACCACAGTCTAACAGAAGCACCAGCCTCTCCATGTGGGGTCCTGGAGATGCTCAGCCCAGGAATGAGCAGCGCTGGCCCAGCTGGACACTGAAACCACTCCCCGTGTTTTGTGATTCATCTGCACAGTGGAAATCCCAAATACCCCTCAGAACTGCCCGTGCCCCATCCACACACAGGCAGCACCACTGGGAAACTGAGTCCTCCCAGCCATCCCCTTGCTTCACCCCTCTTTTGCCTCTGGGGAGGTTTGGGGTTGTTGTCATTTCGTCTGGAGACCAGAAGCCAGCCTTGCTGCTGGAGAGGAGCCGTGGTGGGGTGAGGACCCTACCCTCGGGCTCACTTTGCAGCACAGGCAGTAGAGGCAGCAGGCTGCTCCCCCACCCACAGTGCCAGCTGGAATTCCCAAATCAGGGACACCTGGGACAGGTGGGGGTGGCAGGGATCACTCCAGCACAGGCAGGACCTGAGCCTCGCACCCCTCAGCCCCAGGACCTGGTGGGCACCGTCCCTGGCAGTGCCTGGGCTGCTCAGACACAGGCTGGAGGTGCTGAAGTGAAACCAGCTTGCAGCGAGTCCATTTTCCTCCAGGAACTGGGCAAAGCCTGTGGAGACACTGCATCCTCCGGGGTGAGGGGCTGCCTCCTCCCCACAGAGCCTGGGGCCCAGGAGCCAAATGCCAGACACAGGGAGCACAACGTGACATCAGGAGAGAGCAGGAAAGCCAGCCAGGCCCTCCTGGCACCTCCCTCGAGTCTGGAAAGAAAAAAATCCCTGGAGGTGCCAAGGGAGTTAAAATAAATAAATATTCCTGGGGACATGGGTAATGGGACCCTGAGATCCTTCAGGCACCAAGAGCAGAGGAGCTGTGGGGGGAGCAGGAGAGCCCTGCTCCACCCTGCACCCCAAAATCCTGCTCCCCCCTGCACCCCGAAATCCCTCATCCCGCCCTGCATCCCAAATTCCTGCTCCCCCCGTGCCATCCCCTGCGGGACCAGACCATGTGGAATGACCCTGCTCAAACATTTCAAAGCACAGGAGGCAAACCCTTATCTTCCACAGGAAAAGAATTATTTTATTAAGCATTTTTAAACAGCTACTTAACATTTACTCAAGATAAAAATATGTACAATATCCCACCTTGAAGGCAGCTCCAAAATATAAACACTGTACCTCTCCCGAGAGAAAAACGGAATATTCTTCTCTTCAAAAAAAAAAAAGACAACCCAGAAACAAGAATACATTCATATTTCTCACTTCTTTAAGCTCAAGTAGTTATACAAATAATAGACATCTGAAACATTTTAACTTTTAATATATTTATATAATATATATATATTTATAACAGGATTTTACAAATAAAGGCAACAACTGTATACCAAAAAAACCCAAAAAACCAACAACAAAATAAACGTTAGAACACAATCTGCAATCAAGCATAGTGCATCTCAACAGCTGGTGCAATGGGAGGGCGACATGAGGATCCAGACAGGGGTTCTGCTCTCCAGTTCTCAAAACCAGAAAGAAAAAAACCGCCAAAGAGCACTGCCTTTAGCAGTGAAGTCTGGGGTTTTTAATTAAAAAGAAGCTAAACTGGAGAGGATGTTCCTCCGTGGAGAAAGCCCCTTGCAGCTCACAGGACAAGCATCACCACCCGACCCCTCTCTCCTTCACGGGATGTGAGCCAGGTGTGCCAGGAGGAATCCAGACGCTCAAACCCTGCCGGGATCAGGCTCCTTGGAAAACCCCAGCCTTGCCATTCTGCGAAGGCACTGACAGGGCGCGTTCGGCAGGGATGGATGGCGCTGCCCCAGCCGCTCCCTCGGCAGCAGCCGGGGAAGCCGCGGTGATTCCCGAGGGAGGGCACAGGCTGGAGCCGCTGCCACCAGCCCAGGGACAGCTCCTCCCGAGCCGGCCCAGCGTAGCAGCTCAAGTTACAGGAAGGGCGCAGGTTAATTTATTTATTAGATGTACGCCATGGAAAGCTCCAAGCAGCAGCTACCTTTTATTTCTTTAAAAAAAAAAAAAAATCTACGTATCAGCAAAGGTGTGGAGAGGAACCCGTCTCAGGTCTGCCTGACCTGTGTGTGACCAGGCAGTGACCGCTGGCCTGCTCCTCCTGGACTCCTGGTGGCATTGCCACCATCACACCACAGTGACCACTGCTCACGGTGGCATTGCCACCACCACCTCACAGTGGCCACTGCCCTGCTCCTCCTGGTGACACTGCTGCCCCTGCAGTGACCACTGCCGCCCCTGCAGTGACCACTGCCCTGTTCCTGCTGTGCTCACGGTGGCATTGCCACCATCACCAGTGACCACTGCCCTGTTCCTGCTGTGCTCACGGTGGCATTGCCACCATCACCAGTGACCACTGCCCTGCTCCCCCTGTGCTCACGGTGGCATTGCCACCATCACCAGTGACCACTGCCCTGTTCCTGCTGTGCTCATGGTGGCATTGCCACCATCACCAATGACCACTGCCCTGTTCCTGCTGTGCTTATGGTGGCATTGCCACCATCACCAATGACCACTGTCCTGCTCCTGCTGTGCTCATGGTGGCATTGCCACCATCACCAGTGACCACTGTCCTGCTCCTGCTGTGCTCACGGTGGCACTGTCACCACCGCCCTCCACTCTCGGGGTCACTGGGACAGCAGCCCAGCTCAGGTGAGCCAGCTGCCTCCAGGGCCGCTCAGGGAAGTACCGTGGTTTATATTCATGTATTTTGTATCTGCAGACCCTCAAACCAGGTCTGCCCAATGGAATATTTCTTCACAGCTTTGCAATAGATTCGCAGCTGACCGAGTCAACTGTTGCTCTGTAGATGTGGAGAGGGAAGAAGGGAAGGGGCCAAGCACAAAATCCTTCTTTAATCTTTTGGAAGTAGTTGTCAATCGCTAACCTGGGCGCATCCTTCATCCTTCTCCAAGCTACCTGACGAGTCAGAGAAAAGGGGATTTAGCTTCCTACGCACAGTGAACCTCATCCCCACACCTCAGTCCAGCCAATATATAAAAGTGAAACAGTCTCTCAAACTAAAAAAAAAAAAAAAAAACAAAAAAGAAAAAAAAAAAAAAAAAAAAAGAAAAACCAGTCACACTGCGCTCAGTCTTTGGTTTCCAAGTTCAAAGGAGGAATCTGCTTCAAAGCTTGAAGCAGAGCCGAGGAGTCGATGGGGGAATGGGCCGGTACAGGAGAAGGGAGTCTCTGGGGCATCAGCAGAGGGGGGGAGATTTTGTCGGGGTTCATGAAGCCCGTCAGTGCTGCGGCAGAGGCCGGCAGGCTGGGGTACAACACGGGAACCGAGGCCGGGTACCAGCACTTCTCCAGCATGGGCAGGTAGGCGGTGGCGGACGGCGGGATCAGGTAGAAAGGCAGGCACAGGGGAGGCTGGTGAGCGTGGGGGCCCAGGAAGCCGCCGGCAGAGCCCATCACGTCACTGCCAAAAGGGCCCTCGTCCTGCGGCGACTCCAGCCTGCTCCTTTTGGCCGGCGGGTCCTCAGTCTCTTGCTTAATAGAGCTTATTCTCTCCTGGACAGCGTACTTGAGCTCGGTATCCTTTTTGAAATAGGGCTGTTCCGATTTGGAGTCGCTTTTCTCCAGCTCTCCCCCGTACCCGCTGTCCGTGTCCGTGTCGCTGCCGCTCTGCTCCCCGCTGGAGTGAGCGAATGTCCGCTGGATCACGGGCACGCAGTTCTTCCCGTGGCCCTCGCCCGCCGCGCCCAGGGGCGCCGGCTTCTCCTTCAAGTCCAGCATTTTGGGAGGGATGTCCCCGGGCTTGCGGGCGGCCCCGCCCTGCAGCACCTCGCTGGCCATCCGGTGCAGGTGGCTGACCAGCTGCGACGACTTCAGCTCCTTGCCGTTCTCGTGCTTTGCCAGGTATTGCAGCATTTCCTTGGCACACATCTGGAAACCGGATCGAAACATTTCCTGGCTGGAATCAAGGTTTCTCGATGACAGGTCACCTAAGGAAACATTAACAGAAAGAAATTAAAAATTAACGACATGCTAAATAGTTCCATTTCCAGCTCCGAGGCGGACCGGAGGCGATGTTGGACTTGAGTTACAGCACAGCCAGAGGGGAATGCAATGGCCAAGCTGGACTCTGTGAACAGAAATCCCCAGATTTCTCCAGAAATGGACAAACCCGTCCACTTTTACATAATAAAAGTGCTGCCTGCTCTTTTTTGTTATTTACTGTAAAATCCACTTTCAGCAGGTACTGGAGTGCAGAGAGGGGAGTGAGTCAAGCTGTGGCTTCTCCAGGAAACCCCCGGGGAAGGCAGGGTGCACCTCGCCCTGCACCTCGGGGCAGGGAGCTCCCGGCCCTGCCAGCAGCTCCGCCAGCCCCCGGGGACTCCGCTGCTCCGGCAGCTCCACTGCACTCCCTGTGGCTGCCGGGGCAGGGACAGGCGCCTCCGAAAAATTCGGGTTTACTGTATCCGATTCACGTGAGAGCCACATGTGAAAACAGCAGGAGGAAGTGCATCTAAGGCTGATAAGCTGAAGCACCGGGTCCCCTCTGCCTGCAGAGCACAGCCCAGCTCGGTTATAAAGAAACTTAAAAAGGTGGGTATAGAAAGCAGATTTATATCTATTGCCAGAGAAAAACAACCTAATAAACCAGACTGGGTTATGTAAAGCTCACAAACACAAACGGGGAGAATCGAATGGCTTTGGAGAGAACCTCACAGCAAACCTGGGCTGTAACTAAAACTACTTAAAACCCAGTTTAATTTTAAACAACTCCCACGGCACTCTGCACTGACCATCTTGAGCAACGCATCTTTTTTTTTTTTGTGAAAGCTCATAAGCAAAGCCTGAGAAAATGACAGCACGAAAGGCCAGAATTCCTGTCTCCTCCCTTGCCGGGAACAAGGTGTCACAACCGCATTTCACAGGCTCCCCAGGGAAAGCCCATCACACACACACACTCAGGCTCTCGCCCTGGCGGCTGAACACTCACCCGCCTGCAAACCGTTCTGCAAGGCGATGATCTTCTGCTGCTGCTGCTCGATGAGATTGGTCAGCGCCTTCACGTGCTTCAAGGTGAGCTCCAGAACCACAGCCTTCTCCAGGTGACCTAGAGTCTGGGAGCACAGGGACGGGTTGGCAGCCGCCGCCGGCTCGGCCACGCAGGCAGGAGCTGCCAGCGCCTCCCGGGAGCCGCGGCAGGACGGGCACGGGGAGAGCCTGAGCAGGCAGGACGACCACCGGCAACATTCCACGGAAACAAGTTCAAAAGCGGGCTACGGAAAAGGCTCTCACGGAGCCCTGCGGGTACTTTCGGATCAGCCGCATAGCCCGGAAAGAAGGGTTTTATTTACGGGTTCTGCTGCCGCCGCTGGCGCGGTGACCGGGGAGCCCGGCCGGGGACGGCAGCGGTGCGGGGGGGCGGCCCGGCGGGCAGATCCCGCAGGGATCCGCAGCTCCCGGGGAAGTTTGGGATGCGCTTACAGCCTGCCCCGGCCGTGCGGCAGCACGGAGAAAAAAAAAAAAATTAAAAAAATTAAAAATAAAAAAATAAAAACCCACTCCAAATCGGCGGTGAAGCGGCAGCAGAGCGCCGGCCGCGGGGAGCCCCGTCCCTCCGCTCGCACCTACCGTCAGCTTGAGGTGCTCGGGCAGCAGGTCCTTCAGCTGCGCGATGCACTCGTTGATCCTGTCGCGCCTCTTCTTCTCGATCAGCCGGTGCGGCAGCTTGTAGGTCTCCTGGGGGGCCGGGGCAGCGGGTCAGCGGGGGGACAGCGCAGCCCGCCCGGCCCCGCTCCGCCCGTCCCGAGCGCGCCGGGAGCGGCCGAGCCCCCGCCCCGGGAGCGCCGTCACGGGCGCGCACCGGCCGAGTCACCCCGTTAACCCCCATCTACCCCGTTAACCCCCCATTTACCTCGTCGCCCCTCCGTGCACCCCGTCACCCCCCCATTTACCTTGTTGTCCTCGCTCCTCTTTAAGCCCCTCCGGGGCTTGTACACCTGGTACATGTGCGCGAAGTCCAGCCTGCACGGGCGAAAGGAGAGCAGCGCGTTACCCCCGTCCCGGAGCCGGCGGGGCCGCTCCCCCGGAGCCCCCCGAGCCCCTAAGCCCCGCTTACCCCGGCAGGTCTCCGCCGTCCAGGGCGGGCAGCTTGCCCAGGCAGCCGGGCGGGGGCTGCGCGCTGGGGATGCGCTCCATGGCGGGGGGCGCGGGGCGCTCAGGGGCTGCGGGCGCTGCCGGTGCCGCTGCCGCTGCTGCTGCTGCTCATGCCGCGCCCGCGCCGCGCGGGCTGAGGAGCGGCGGGGGGGGGGCGGGCGGGGGGG